CGATGAGAGTCTTCCCAATTTTTACATTTTTAAAAAGGCTTGCCAAAATCCATGGGTGAATTTTCAGGTAAAAATATGTTGAGGCAACAGATCCTGGTTTCAGGACCTGCGATCCAGTTAAGCATCAGCAACTCATTAGCCATGGGACCTCCGGTGAGTCGGTCTGAATCCTAGCCGTGTGACCCCTTGAGCCTCAATTTCCCCACCTGTAAAATGGGGATATTAACAGTTTTCATGAATAACTCATTATAAGCATTCAACATGTTAACGGTTGTCATAAGTGTTGGGATTACCGATGGTAACAACATACCTTACGAGGCTATGCAACAAGTCCTCCTTGGTTTTGACTTGCGATTATAACATCCTTTACAGGGACCCACACCCAATTCCCCTGGAAACAGGTTTGGCTCTTTGAGAGCCCTGGCCTTTGTATACGCCGTGCCACTCCCTGCAATGTCCCCCTTCCTACCCAGCACATGTCTGTTTCTCCATCAAGATCCCTCTCAGGGATAGGCCCCACTCCGACTCCCCTCTCGGACAGCCCACTCCTCCAGCCAAGTGACGTGGCCTATGAGTTACAATTTTCTGGAGTGTCAGCCACAGAAAAGCCACTGGGAGTCGGTGAGCAGAAAGGGGAATACGTACTGCGTGAGGATGCTGAGTGTCCACGGAACCCAGGGGCCTCAGAAACCACCTAGAGCCGAGGAAGGGGGAACTGCAGGGAGTCCCTTTCTCCTCTTGGTGCCTCAGTTTCTCCTTTTTCTCTTGCTGCAACTGGCTTTCAGTTTCCCACCCACATGGACAGACAGCAGCTGTCATCCACACCCCAAAGCCCACACCTGGGCTAGTCAAGAAGGCAGCCGGTGGAACGAAGTCTCCTGGTCCCAAGTCCAAACGCCTGTCTTCTCCCTGCAGCGCTCTATTGAAATTGCTTTTGGCCTCCCATCCAAGTACTAACCAGGCCCGGCCTTGCTTAGCTTCCGAAAGCAGGTGAGATCGGGGTGGGGAAGTGTCAAGGGGAACGCTTTGTAAAGTGCTGATGTAAAATAATGTTGAAGGTAGACTGTAATTGAAAAATAAATAAATAAATAATAAATAAATGAATAAATAAATATATTTTTTAAAGAAATTGCTTTTCTCAAGGTGTCACTGGCGATTGTCAAATCAAGTAGATGCTTTTCCTTTCTTAGCTGATGCCCTGGAGCATTTGATCCACTGACCCCAGTGCCTTGAAACACTCTTCTACTTTGGCCTCTGTGATACCATGCTCTCCTGGCTTCCTCCAGGACTCTTCTTTACTCAGCCTGGAAGTACTGGTGTTTCCCAGGGCTCGCACTTCACCCTTTCTCCATGCCCTTTAGAGTCTCATACATCCCCTGGCTCCACCACAGCCTCTCTGGGTTTCTCCCAGTTTTCTGCATACAGACAGACATTTCTCCCCACCACAGGGTCCTCACTCCCCCTCTATGAGCTTGACTCATAACTAGGTTCTTTGTTTGGTATGGCAGGGAGCTCAGGGCGCAATCTCAAAGTTCCTATTAATTTCTTGTAGGTTTCGTAGCTTTGGGTGTCTGTCCTTGTCACCAGTAGGATGTAAGGATTTCAGTTACTGTTACCCAATACGATCCTAGTCCCTTGGGAGGGTGGCTCTGACATTAATGAACCCGACTCTGGCACCCCCAGATCAGGCCAGAGTGGTGGTAGCGGGGAAAGATGATGGGACGTGAACTCTCTGGTGAAGGGACATGCAGTCAACAGAATTCACGGAACAGAGGAGGACCTAGATAGATTACTGGGGGAAGGCCAGCCTTCCAGACACTTTCCCAATGTGCTGAATTCTGTGCCACTCGGAAGAATTCCCACCGAGTGCTGCTAACTGAAGATGTGAAACTGTGGTCCTGTGTTCCTTAGGATTTCAAGCAAATTCAACTTTGGTTCTATTTAAAGATTAAATGACTCCCTATTAAAATGATATGGCATTAAAATTTTTCTCTCTCATTTCTGACACCTATTTGGCCCTTCCTTCCTGCCAGATGATCTTATATCAATACCAAGATGCTCAGGGCCCTACCCGCCCCACTGGCCTTCTTGAGAAGTACTTTAGCTGAAGCCCCCTCAACTTTATTTCCCATTGTTAGTCTAATTCCTGGAAGGATCTGATAAACTCACCTGGGACGAGATGTTAATTGCTGACAAATCTTGCATCTTTATTTTATCTGCTAGACTTAGATTAGGTTGAGAAAATCCATATTTAGCACCAAATGGGTTTTGATCCCAATCTTGACTTGCCACCACCACCACTACTCCATCCCTCTGCTGAATGGCTTTGGGCAAGATGCTTAAACTCTATTAATCTTAATGTTCCAACTCCTTAAAATGGGATTATCATCTGCATTTCAGTTGTTTGTGAAAATCAAACTTGTTGAAGTATCTCAAGGGCCTGACGAAATATTATCAAATTGTTTTCTAAGACAGTTGCACCAATTTACGTTCCTGCAATTATCTACATCGTTTCTATTTGCCTTAGTTAGGCTGTGGGATCCTCCAGACACTGATCCTAGCCTCTGTCTTTGGTGCTGAATACAGCACCGAATGCCTAGTAAGTTCTCAATAAATGTTTGTTGACTGAAATGTCTTAAATGGTAGAATTTCCAGGCATATTCCAAACATGCTTTAAGCCTGACTAGGTTGTTCTGATTCCTCCTGAAATGGGGGCAACTGAAGTTCAAGGAGGTTGGATAACTTGCAGTGGATCACACCACAGGTAGACAATGGAGCTGATCGGAGCCAAGTCTAACTGCAGAGCCTGTGGCCTTAATCAGCCACGAGCCTGCTCGCCTCTCAGAGCTGTCGTAACAAGGAAGAGTTCCCCTTCAAAGCCTTCACAGCCCGCTTGCCACATCCTTTGGGATAGGCCTCATAATCCTGTGAAGTTAATACAAACTCTGAGGTCTGCCCTCTAAGCCCGACACTTCTAAGCCAGAGCAAAAGAGCACCCAGAGACTTCCCAAGGGCAGAGGGGACATGGGGAGGGCTGCATATTTGCTCAGCTCCTGAGAGGTGATGTTCAGAACTTGGGTGGGCAGGTCACGGTGCAGGTGGGCATGAAGCTGATGCCCTTGGCCTCAGAGGATTTCTGCCTCCCAGGTTAGGGACAGCCCCTGCTGACAGCAAAGAATCTCTGGACCAAGGAACACTTGAACTGTAAACCTCCTGGGAGTCAGGCCCAAGTCCTGCACTGTCTTTGTGCCCCAAAATACCTGTATACAGGGAACATCAAAGATGGAAAGGGCTCTGGGCCATTTAAGCCAATCCTCTCATTTTACAGGTAGCCTTAGAAGGAGGAGGGGCTTTCCTGGCAGTGTCAGAACTAGAATCCAGGTCTCCTGACCCAAGGCCACCAGTGCTCTGCCCAACACCAAATGGAAGTCCAGTAAGCATTAGGGACTGAATGTTAGCACAGAGCGTGGAAGCAGCTCCACGCGTGGGAAGCGCTGAGATGGTGAGCCCCTTACTTAGAAGGAGCTCTTTCAATGTTAAGATGAATGAATGAATGAATGAGTGAGCTGTTTCCCACAGCAAAGGTCTTCCTTTGACAGTCACCCAGATGTATCCTGGAGCTGTCAGCTATAAACAGGACTCTTTGAAAATAAAAAAGCACAGTAGCTAGGGAAATGGTCTTGGGGAAAAAATTTTAAAGAGGTATGGAACCATTCAAATAATTATAAAGATAATATAGTAACATGGAAAACTACTTGCAATGTACAATTAAGGAGGGAAACCATTATATGAAATTGAGCCTCTGCCACATGTCCAACTGTGCTGTTATGTGGGGATGGAGGTGGGGCCTATTAAAAACGGCTCCTGTTTATTGAACACTCGCTTCCCGCGGGTCAGCTCTGTATGAAGCCCTTCATGCACGCCACTGAACTCAGTCCCAGTGACACAGACAGGGACCCCGGGAGAACTTGAACTCAGGGATGTCTGACTCCAGAACCTGCACTCTTAGCCACTGGTTTGACTCTGTGGCAGGAATGGGAGTGATGTTTTTTCCTTTCCTTTACTGTTACTTGAGTACTAAAAAAAAATAAAAATACTCCAAGTGATTATTAACTGCTCTGGAAACCAACACCAAGCTCATTCTCTATAGGGTGCCCCCCAAAAATGTACACATACACTTTGAATAATTATAAAGGCAGTGTTTATTAAAATACATGTCATTTTCAGAATTGAGCTATCAGCTCTTAAAGTGTATATACATTTTGGAGGGGACACCCTGTATTTACATTCAGGAAAGGCGGCAAAATCCGGACACGCTCCTCCAGCTGCTGGAAAATCTTACTCATGCAGCCCAGGAAGTTTGCCTCCCTCTTTCCCAAGCTAGCTTTCCTGAGACTACAGTCCCTGGGACCTGAACACATGCTGAGCACCCTCCATAAGCCATCCCCACCCCTGCCCTGTCAGTCCTGACACCTCCAGCCTTCCCAGAGTGTCACTCAGAGCTCCTCCCACCAGAACCACCCACCCCACAGCTGACACAGGTCCACTGGTGCCCTTCAGTCCCCTCCAACCTGTGAGCCAGAAACATCCCCCTCTGGGTCCCTCACATGACCCCAGACCTCAGCAACCTGGCCCACCAGCTCCTCAAGCCCCACGACTAGACTGACCCTTTACAAGCTGGAGGGCCCTTTGCCCTGTCCTGTCCTCTTCATTTCAGCCAGAAGAAAGGGACCCAGAGAGCCACCAACAGGGGTTGGGGGAGGCTTAAGAGGACCCCTGACCCAGAGCCACTTCTCCCTCTATGCTCTGTAAGACTTTCATAGGCTTCCTGTGGACCAGCCAGGGTCTAAGTCAGTAGTCACATTGTTCTCGGGGGAAAAGGAATCTTTTTTTTCTTTATTGATTTCAGAGAGAGGAAAGGAGAGGGAGAGAGATAGAAACATCAATGATGAGAGTGTCATTGATCGAGCCCACAACCGGGCATGTACCCTGACCAGGAATCGAACCCCGATCGCCTGGATCCTAGGTCGACGCTCAACCGCTGAGCCACGCCCGGCCGGGCGGGAAAAGGAATCGTGAGCCAAGAGAAATGTTTGCATCCCCTCAGGAGGAAGATGGGTATGGTCTGATCCAGCCCAACTACTGAATCAAACTGAATTTGAACTAAAATGTCTTGGACCCCTTGCCCTGGGCCCCTAGTCCTGTGATATCAGAAGGGCCTGTGCTAATACATGGAAGTTAACTGCTAAACCACCACCACCCCAGCAGCCCCAGCAGCCCCAGCAGCATGGACCTTTGCACCCAAATCTCAGCTCCGAGCAGGCTGGCATCCTGGCCTAGAGGCCGTGGGGGGCTGCCTGGGGGTGCCGCCTGCTGAAATGAGAGTCGGTACTACTGTGCTATGAGAGGTTTAATGAGCACCCCAACGGCCCCCGTTTTAGCAGACAGCGTCGGGGCGGAGGCCTCCGGCCCACTCGCCGTGGTCATCGCCGTCCCGCAGAGGGATGGACTTCCTCATGTGCGTGCACAGCACCTCGTCGATGTAGATGGTGTTCTCTTTGACCTGGATCTCCTCCTGCAGGGCGAGCTGTCTGCGATTCAGCCCTTTCAGCTCCATCTGAGCTTGGGCTAATGTTTCCTTTAATCTAGAAGAGACAGAACATCAGGGGAATCGTTTGTCACTCCACATCACTCTTTCGTGCATGGGGGTGGTATTTGTGTGTTCAGTGCAGAAGCCAAATCCATGTCTTTCTCCCTGTCTCCTCCTTAAGATGGAGATTTCAGATTGGTGGCCACGGGCCAGGTTCACAAGATGGACAACTCCATGAATTGCCAATGTTTAAAACTGTACATTGTACCTAAACATCTGGACTTGGACTTTGGAAAAATTCAAACACATGCAGCTACCCATTTCCTGCATGGCCACAATTGGCTGGAGTCAACAAGGAACCCCTCAGACACTATGACACAAAAGTGCTCATACTAGGCCGGCTTCCCCTGCGCTGGCCTTGCCCGGCCCCGTTCACAATCGGGGTTTACACGGAGCCCCGGCGCCCTCCACCTCCCAGCTGCCGGCCCACCTTGCCACGTTGTGGGTGATCTCGTGAACCTCCTTCATCAGCCTGTACTGGGCCACATCCCGACACAGCTCCACGTTAGGCCGACATGTCCTGGTCTCCAGGCGTGTGTGAGCCACCTTGGCAGGCCCTTCTTGGTCAAGGATGGCTTTTTCAAGAGCGGTAATATTTTTCTCCTGGGAAGCAATCTCCTCCATGACCTTACAAAAAGGATTCGAGTAGGTGAGGCCGGATGGTGCTCCTCAAAACTCAACAGCAGACACTCTTGGGAGGTCTCTTGGGATCATGTAAGCTGGGAAGAGGGGCCCTCAGATTTCTACCCAAGCAGGACCCCAGAATGAGTCTGAGGTCCCTTCCCTACAGCAGTGACTGCTGGTGGGCAAGGTAACTCCCCCAGCCATTGTTTCCTCATCTCCTTCCCAAATAATGTGAATTCCCTGGAGAGCGCCCTCAGCAAAGGCTGGAGGCTGCCCATTTACCCGGGCACTAAGTACCTGGGATCATGAGCAGAAAGCTGCCTATTTCCTTATCAGTCCACCCACGGGCACCCACTCCGCTCCCTAGGCGCCTGAAGGAAGCGTGTGAGCAGTTCAATTCAAGTTTTGTTGGTTCCTTTGAAGGTGGCTTTGGGCACAGAAAAGATTACTTAGAAGTTATTTGGGTTTTTAGATTAATATTCAACAGTTTAAATTTCTGTTTCTTCCTTAAGCTTTAAAAAAAAGAACAAATACCTTTACATCACAGAAATGTCTAAACATACACAAAAGTAGCTGGTATAATAAATCTCAGGTATCCATCACCAGTTTGAGCAGTGATCACTACATGGCCAATCTTGTTTCATCAGTAACCCCCTCTCTCCACCCCTGCCCATCAGCTTATTTTAAAGCAAATCCCAGATAGTATATCATTTCAGTCTTAAATACTCAAGTATGTATTTCTGAGATATACAGACACTTTTATTGTCTTTTAACATAACTACAATACCTTTGTCTCTCTCACACACATTCCAATTTCCCTGACTGTCCCATTTTTTTTTTTTTGTAAAAGTTGGTTTATTCAAATTAGAATACAAATGAGGTCCACAGATTGCATTTGGCTTTCTAAAGCCTATTATTAACATTTCTTAAGTTTTTCTTAAGTTCCATTCACAGATATTATACTATTTTTATATTTAGCAAATGTTAACGATCACTTTAAATTGATTTTGATCAATTGTTGCTCCCACTTCAAGCTTAGCTAAAATTCTTGAACACTTATTTGAAGCAGCATTTATAAATTTGATATATAACATAAAGTATTTATAAATTTGATATAAAACTTTTTAAAATTACTTGAGTTGTCTTAACAAACAAAGCTTTCTGAAGTTCTTAAAAGACCTCTTCAATCTAATAAACTAGTAAAAATGATTAATCTTAAATTCTCAAATATCTTAACACTGTCTTCAAACTTAAAATTTCAACTAAAATCATAAGGCTAAGTTATTTACAAATTTTCCTATAATTTTTTTAAAAACCGGCCAAATTCTCTTAAATTTTACAAATACTTAAAATAATCTAAATGCAAAGATGACTTAAAACAAAACTACTAATACTATGGGTTAGGTCAGGAATCAGCCTACTGTGGTCTATGGGCCAAGTCCAGTCCAGTTTTGCACAGACTGTTTGGTACGGACTGTTTCTTTACAGACTGAAACAAGAGTTTTTTAAATGAATGCACTTTAGCTGTTTTTTTTTTAATCTTCACTCAAGGATTTTTTTTTTTTTATTGATTTTTAGAAAGAGGAAGGGGGAGAGAGAGAGAAGGAGAGAGAGAGAAACATCAATTGGTTGCTTCCCATATGCACCCTGATTGGGGATCGAATCCAAAACCTAGGTATGCGCCCTGTCTGGGAATTGAATCTGCAACCTTTTGGTGTACGGGGCGATGCTCCAAGCAGCTGAGCCCACCAACCAAGGCAATGGACTTTAGTTTTTAGAGCACTTTTAGATTCACAGCAAAACTGAGGAGAAAGTAGAGCATTCCCATTTACCCTCTCTCCCCAACCACACAGATTCCCCTGTGATGACCATCTTCCATTAATGTGGTGCATTTGTTACAACTGATCAACCAATACTGTATACATCACTATTAACTAAAGTGCACAGTTTACATTAGGATTCAACCTTTGTGTTGTACATTCTATGGATTTTGACAAATGTATGATTAGTATCCACCCTACCGTATCATACAGAATAGGTTTCATTGCCCTAAAAACCCTGTGCACCACTTTTTCACCCCTCCTCCCCAGCCCCCATCTGAAGCCCTGACAACCAGTGGCCTTTTTACTGTTTCCAGCTGTCATGTAGTTGGAACCATACGGTATGATTCATACAGTCTGAATCTCACATAGGCTTCTTCCGTTTACTGATACGCATGTAAGGCTTCTCCATGTCCTTTGGTGGCTTGATAGCTCATTTCTTTTTAGCACTGAATAATATTCCATTGTATGGATGTAGCACAGTTTGTTTATCTATCCATCTATCCAAGGACATCTGGTTGCTCCCGAGCTTTGGCAATTATGAATAAAGCTGCTAAACATTCATAGGCAGATTTTTGTGTGGACATAAGTTTTCAACACATTTGGGTAAATACCAAGGGGTTTGCTGAATCATATGCATATGTTTAGTTTTGTAAGAAACTGCCAAGCTGTCTTCCGAAATGGCTGTTCAATTCTGTATTCCCACCAACGAAGAATGAGATCCTATTGCGCCGCATCCTCGCCAGTGTTTGGCACTGTCCACGTTCTGGATGTCCCATAGGTGTGCAGCGGTATCCCTAATGGCAGAGGGTGTTGAGCATCTTTTCCTATGTTTCATTACCACCTGCATATCTTCTTTGGTGAAGTGTCTATTAGATCTTTTGCCTGTTTTTTCACTGGGCTGTTTGTTTTCTTATTGTTGAGTTTTAAGAGTTTTTCGTGTATTTTGGATAACAGTACTTTATCTGTGGCTTGTCTTTTTATTCTCTTTATTTTAAAAAGGTTTTTGCAGCGTGGAAGGCATGGCTCAGTTGTCGGTTCGATTCCCGGTCAGGGTACATGCCCTATCCTGGGCTTGACCCCCAGTGTGGGGCGTGCAGGAGGCAGCCGATCAATGACTCTCTCATCATTGATGTTTCTGTGTCTTTCTCTCCCTCTCCCTTTCTCTCTCTGAAATCAATAAAAACATATTATTTTTAAAAAGGTTTTTACATTTCTAAATAGTGGGCAAAATCAAAAGAAAAATTATATTTCCTGTCATTTGAAAATTACATAAAATTCAAATATTGGTGTCCATAGTAAAGTTTTATTGGAACACAGCCATGCTCATTCATCTGTTTATGGCTGCTTTTAAATTACAACGCCAGGGTTAAGAAGTTGCAATAGCCCAGCCGGCATGGCTCAGTGGTTGACCATCCACCTAGGGTCCAGGAGATCCCGGTTGGATTCCCGGTCAGGGCACAGGCCCGGGTTGTGGGCTCGATCTCCAGCAGGGGGCGTGCAGGAGCAGCCGATCAATGACTCTCATCATTGATGTTTCTCTCTCTCTCTCTCTTTCTCCCTTCCTCTCTCTGAAATCAATAAAGATATATTTTAAAAAATAAAAATTAAATAAAAATTAAAAAAGAAATTGCCACAGACTGTGTATGTTACACTCTCAGCACTTTGTGCTGCCATCCAGATGACATGGTTGTAACTGGACAGCTTCCCAAGGGCCACGTGGATCACCACCCAGTAACAGCTTATTTTCTTTCTTACCACCAGTACATACCCTGGTGTTAAAACAAGAAAAGTGGGCTTCATGAGTTGCACTTTGCAGGCATAGTGAGGTGTAGATCTTGTTAAGGAGATAGCAGGACACTGTGTTTATCACGCAACGACGCTGTAGCTGTCCTGGGAGGGTATGACATGTGTCATTACCACACTGCGTAGCATCATGAGAGTCTCAACTCCCAGGAAAGCAACTATCGGAAAAATTGGGCATTTAAAACAGAATATCTCATCAATGCAGGGTTTCCTCACAAGAATGAAAACAAGTCAAAGTGACGTGCCAAGCGTCTCATTTGTTGGCCGCGCAGGGAAAGCCGCTGGCCCACAGCGAGTTAATTAAACCAAGTAGGACTGCAGCCGCTGAGCAAGGGCGCCCGGGGAACAAACATGGCTCAGATTCCAGTCTGTCTGCAAAAACTGCTGCCTGAAGAGCTCAGGACCCTGGGAACAACATCAGTAGCCAGAGAGAAGCCAGGCGCATGATTCCGGCTGGTTCTCCTTTGCTCCTCGGGGGCTGCCAGGTGGTCTGATGCTGCTCAACTGATTCCTCAAGGAATCGGTGCTGAGCTCGAAGTGACGAAGGAACCAGCCCCCACGAATGGTCGGATGACATGCCTACAGGCAAGGACATCTTCAACAGGTTGGGAAAACACTAGTGCCATACAACCCGAGGTGGGATCCGCTAGGTGTCCCGGCTGGTGATGNGATTCCTCAAGGAATCGGTGCTGAGCTCGAAGTGACGAAGGAACCAGCCCCCACGAATGGTCGGATGACATGCCTACAGGCAAGGACATCTTCAACAGGTTGGGAAAACACTAGTTCCATACAACCCAAGGTGGGATCCGCTAGGCGTCCCGGCTGGTGATAGCACATACGCGTGTGGAGCAGGCACAGGTTAGCTGAACCCACTGATAGGAGCTGAGGAAATGTGAGCTGTTCAGAGCCTCTGTCATTCCTCGTGCTGTTCACCAGAAAGTGCCTCACGGAAAATATTTGAAGCCATCATGTGTCATTGAACCGGTATCGTCAACACTGCATTTCATTAGCTCCCATCACGGGCTCTGTGAATTTTTGTGAGAAATAGAAGATGCAGCCTGACTCGCCCTGCTCCTTAGCAATTCAATGGTTCATCAATGCTAACATTTTCTTGTGATTTATTTTTAGCTCAGGGCCAAGGCTGAAATTTTTCTGTACAAGAACCACTCCTCCCCCAACTACTGCTATAAAACACTGAATATCGCCCTGGCCGGTGTGGCTCAGTGGTTAGAGTGTCGTCCAGGGCACCAAAGGGTCTCAGGCTCGATTCCCGGTCAGGGCACATCTCCAGGTTGCGGGTAAGATCCCTGGGCTGCGTGCGTGCGTGAGGCAACTGATTGATGTTTCTGGCCCTCTCCCCTCCTCTCTCTGGAATCAATGAAAAAAATGTCCTCGAGTGAGGATTAACTAACTAAATAAATAAAACACTGAATAGCTTTGCACATTAATTTTTGCTGCAGTCTTAATAATAATATATCTTAATGAATCCCACCTAAAATCACAAGGCAAGAGAGCACTTGCATGCAAACGTTACGCTGCAGTAAAGTCGTTTCAACAACTAACGTGGTTTGAATCACAAGTCATGCCAAGCTGCTTTATACACTTCCTGTGCTGTCAAATGTCAGAACAAGAAGCAGGACCTCCAGTCCTGCACAGATGTGCAGCAGATACATTTTCCAAGTTCCAGCCGTGGGGTTTTGGAGTCGGAGGGGGGGGGGCGCCTCAAAGCAAGCGCAAAGGAAATTTCCATATTTCAAAATCCACTTCATTGTGCAGTTGAGGAGCTTCTACCTACCCTTCAACGGCAAGTGATTAATCTGAAATGTAATGACATGCTAACAGGCCAGTATTAGGAGAGAATCTAAACAGAATTCTATAAAGGCCTTGCAAGCGAGGAGTGCGTTCAATTAAAATCATGTGCTCACAGACTGTTATCAGTACTTGGCAGTACCTATTTGGATGAAAAGACATTTTCAATGATGAAATATATAAAACCTCATTACAGACCAGCATTCACAGAGGAACATTTGCAATAGATTTTGGTAGGAAATACAACCACATTATAACCTTTAGATTACACTCTGGCTCGTCCTGCTCGTCACATAAATAAATCCTGTCTGACAACCAAGCTCTGGGTTCCAAGAGAGCAAGGTATGAACACAGCTGGAGGACAAGGCTTTGGGAGTTGAGCAGGCCTGGCCTCTAGTTCCAGGCTGCCAGCAATGCACCTCGCCACCCGGGGTCCCTTCTGCTCCCTACGTCTCACTTTCGCCATCAGAAAAAAAGCTGGGTTACCATCACCATGTTACAGGTGAGGCACAAGGCTTTGAGTGCTTGAGGGATCTGCATGAGTCCCTCGGCTGGCCCGTCACTGCACTGGGTCTGGGCCCACATATCCAAATCCAGCACCTGTTCCACTCAACTCACTTCTCAGTGTCCCTGAGTTTAGCCTGTGGGACCCAGAGGTCCTTGCAGTAAGGGAGGTATTCTGGAGAGGGCTCATGTGGGCTCTGATGGTTAAGTATTCAGGAACTTGGCCAGACCATTGTTAAATGGGTAGCCTGAAGTCAACCATGATGAAAGTATTTACACCATGGAAACCTGCAACTTCTACAAATCGGGGACATTTATTTTTCTGACACTCGGTTTACCAACACACCACTGGATAACTGAGAGGACGACTAGCCAGAATCCCAAAGTTGCAGCTGGGTTTGGAGAAATTGATTGCATTCGACTCATGGAACTTCAGAGTCATAATCGATGTCTGGGACCACCTAGTCCATCTTCATATTTCACATAAGGAGACAATGAGGCCCAGCATGAGGAGGTAGCCTGTTCTTTGTGGCAATGAGTGACAAAGGAGGCCCAGAGTAGGGCCAAGTCCCACTCCAGTCCCACCAAACCCAAACCCTGCTGCTGCAATGGAGAGCGGTGGGTGACCCTTACTCCTTAGTTAACCCAGATCACAGCACAGAAGGCAGCGGCCTGGCCCAGAGGACATTCCAGGTTTCCATGGTGAAACCTCAGGTGCTCTTCCAGGTTCCCTGCAGGGAGCTCACCTTGGCCAAATGAACAGCCAGCTTATCCCTGGCATCTTTGGTCTCCTTCAGCCCATTCTTGAATGCCGTGTCCACCACGTCACATTGCTTGCGCAGGTCACTGGCCGTCTGGGACAGGACTCGGTCCACCAGGGCCTTCAGCATCAGGGAGTTGTTCCTCTGCTTGTCGGCCTTCTCCACGTTGGTGTTGGAGAAGTCCAACCAGTCTTCCAGACTCACAGAGCTGAAACAGAACCGGTGCATTCATTCGTAGAGGATTTGCTCTGGGAAGGGGGTGAGAGGAGGGGACAAGTGTCTGGAAATCCCTGGGAAGCTAACCTTACCTTTACCACCAGGAGCACCTAGAATGTTTCTTCATCTCCAGGCAGAGTGAACACTGATCTGTCAGTGGCAACAGCTGTCACTTTGGGAAAAACTACCTACTCTGTGCCAAGCATTGGGCTGGCATTTCACAGATATTATCTCATTTAATCCTCATGATGGCCTCGTGAGCTCACTTTCATAACCCCCATTTTACAGATGAGGAAAACTGAGGCTCATGAGGGAGTAACTTGGTCAAGAGCACACAGGTAGAGACAATTTGGTATCAAAATACATATTAATAGCAACAGATTATAACAGACTAAACAAAATAGTTTCTATGAGTCCATACTAATATAAATAAATTGCTAGTTTGATAAGGAACTGCTTTAGATACAACACTGACGAATCTCAAAATAATGTTGATTGGAAGAAAACTGACACAAAAAATAGATAGTATATGATGCTATTTAATAATCATAAAAGCAGACAAACCTATTGGAAGTCAGGAATGTGGTCACCTTTCGGGAGGAAAGAGGGGGGTATTGATTGAGAGGGACAGTATGGGGGCTTCTGGTTGGTGGTAATGTTTCATTTCTTGACCTAGTTGGTAGTCTCATAGGGGCTGTTCACTGTGATTAGCAGTAGCCTCTGAAATGACCCCCAATGACCCCCACATTTCTGGGATTAGGTTAAAAGGAGACTGTGGCTTTTGTCTTGGGTGCACTGTCTCCCTGGCCTTCTCTTGGATCACTCACTGTGGGGGAAGCCAGCCACCGTGTCCTGGCAGAGCCAGGTGGGGGAGGCTCTTGAGGCAGCACCGGCCATAACCACACCAGACAGCCTAGAAGTGGGTCCCCACCCCCAATTAGTCACGACTTCATATTAGACCCCAGCCCAGCAGACACCTGACCACAGCCTCACGAGGCGGGAGTCAGAGGCACCAACTAAGCAGTGCTGGGCTGTGAGATATTACATGTTTATCATTTTAAGCTGCTAAGTTTTGGGGTAACTTGTTATATACCAAAAGATAACCCAATAATAATTCATTAAACTGTGTTTATTATTATTTGTGTACTTTTCTATATATATGTTTTACCTCAAAAAGAAGGTTTAAAAATTATGAGTTAGATGTGTAATACAATGTTCACTGAAAAACGTATTAGATGTTACAGAAAAGGTACATAGTGTTAACCCATTCTTGCATACAAAACAAAACTTGTGTGTGTGAGTGTATACGTGTTTGTGTGAACATACAGAGAACAGTGGTATCTCTGCCGTAACAAAGTCACGGGATGGAGGAAAATTATTAACTTGCTCTTTATACATTTTTAGATTCTTTTACTCGTTAAACACACGAATCGGTAAAAGAATACATTTTAAATGTTTAGAGATTTTATAGCAGACTTTCTTAAAGGGTGGCCTAACGTGGAAGAGCAGGGAACCTCCGGCCCTGTTCTCGGGGTGCTCAGCGTTCGGCACCCGGCTCTGCCCAGGTCTGCCCCTCCCTGGCGCCCAGCCTGCTGTCGGGGTGACAGCCTCCTTGCTGTCGGCCTGTCCGAGAAGCACCAGGACACTGCCCAGCAGGGAAGGAGACGGCGCGGCCAGGCCAGCAGGCAGGGCCCCACTCACTTTGGTTCAACCCTCACGACGTTCTCGGAATATCTGATGTTTGGCGAGTTGTTGTTGAGTGAGAAGCAGATATCGTCAATGGTCAGGGCCACAAACTTGTCTTTCAAATCCTTTTCGAGATTGTACTTTGCAGAACGGTTCAGCCTGAAGGGAGAAGGTAAAAGTTCCTCCCTCTGGAAGGCCCAGGTGGCGCCTACAGTGTCCTGGGAGGCCCCGGAGGATGAAGCTACAGCTGGGTCTAGCACAGGATGGTGGCCCTTCCTGCCCACCTTCCATCGCCCAGCCGCACCCCCAAGCCCCATATACATTAGATGCTTGGTGACAAATTAATGTAACCAAGCCTCCCTCCAGCTGTGACATTTTCTGGTGTCACCACTCTGCATACTGTCAGAGGTCAGCCCTAGAAAAAAACAGCTCCAGTGTCCCCCAGTTTATAATCAGGGCTAAAATCCCACCCACCACCAGAGGGTGGCTGTCAGGGAGGAGAGGTGTCCAAGCCTCGCTCTGAGTGTTCTCAAGCCGCCTCAGGTCATGGAAAGTGCTCCTGGGGGCATCAAACCCCATCCTTTCTGTGCCTGGAGCCCCCTGGCGGGGCTGTCTCTTCCAGATTCGCCCAGTGGAAGCGCGGGGTGGCCCGAGCGGCCGTACCTGATCTGCTCGGTGGTCTCCTCCAGGCTGCGGGTCAGCAGGGCCATCACGCCCCGGATGATCTCGGCCTCCTTGATCAGCTCCTGCTCCACTTCATCGTGGACCAGGTCAATGCCAACTCGCTTCTCCCTGCCCAGGGAAAGGGGCCGATCATCCAGCGTCCGAGGGCAACTCGGTATCTGCTAACACCTGGATATTCAAAGCTATCTGGCAACTGGTCTGAGCAGCACCCACTGTCTGGATGGCACAGTCGGGGGTGTACGCTAGTTGTCGTCTTTGCTCCTTGAAAAAAATCCAAAGGCAATGAAGGAAAATTGGTCAATGGCTGGTGACCTGGTCTGAAAGTGCCAGGTGGACATTTCCCCTCAATTTGGACATCACTTCTGAAGCCTCCTCTGTCTTACCCACTTAGTGGGAACATTTCTTTTGGCTTAAAGTTTCAAAGACATATGTTTCCTTCTTTGATCCTACTTCCATTTTTTGACAAGGATTTGAATCCAAAAAGGTGCTTAATAATAATAATAATAATAATAATAATAATAAATACCAACATTAATATTACCCCACCACTGAGCACTTACTATGTGACAGGCATTGTGCTGAGCTTTTCATATGAATGTTCTCACTTAATTAGCCCTTTCAAGTACAGGTGAGGGAACCAGGAAACACTTTCAGGGAGGTTAAGCCCAGGTCACAGAACTGGGCATGACACGTGCTGTTATTCCCAATACTGACCAGTCACTGCCTAATATTTTGCTCTTTTCTACCCTGTCTGATAGTGCTTGGGAGGAAGGCTCCACCACTCACCAGCTGTGTAGCCTCAGGCACGTTGTATAATTTATCTGTGCTTTGGTTTTCTCTTCCGTGAAATGGGGATAATAATTAGTACTTCCTAAGGTTGTGGCAAGTAACTGATGAGACATAAATGCAGAAAGCACAGTGCCAGGCACGTAGTAGCACGTACTCAATCAACTCCGCAACCTCTACATTCTAAACACCCTTAGGTGTAGACTCGAGCTGTCTGGGTGTTGGCCTCCTTAATGGCAATCTTCCCTTTGCTTCACTAACAGTCTCTAAATAGAGATGGGGAGGTTACTGCCTCGTTGCTGCGGGGGTCCTGGCTGAACTCATTGAGGGAGGACCTTCCAGGAAGAGGGAACAGTGGGGACAGAGCCATGGTGCGTTTGGGAAACTGCAAGTAGCTCAGCACACTTAAGCACAGCCCACTGTTGGGGGTGAGGTATGGGCCTGGCGAGGTCACTGGGGCCCAATCATGATGAACCCTGTTTGCTAGGCTAAGGAGTTTGAACTTGATCCTGAAGGTACTAGGGTATAGGGTTGCAATTTTAAAAATAATTTTAAAGCATGGGGTGACCTGTAAAAATCTGCATTCAGAAAAGTTCACTCATAAGCCAGTGTGGAGGACGCACTGGATTGGAGGGGACTAAGCTGGTGGCAAGACCTGTTAGGGTGTGCCATCTAGGTCTGTGGTTAATGGAAATCACCACTAGCCCATGCAGAGATAATCATCCTACTCACAGGACTCATAGGAAAGATATAATAATAAAAAGCTATGTTTGCACAGCGCTCTCTGGACACAGCGCTTCTGTGTGACTCTGTGTATGTGAGTAGACTTTCTGTCCTCTGGTAACTGTAGTATCTGCTCTGCCTGCCCAAAATAAAGTAGTTTCTAGTGGTGTGGCCATGTGACTAAGCTCTGGTCAACAGGCTGCAAGTAGAAATGGTGAATGCCAAAGCCATTTATTCCTACTCGCTGGGATGTAGACGCAATGGCTGGAGCTCCAGCTGCCGTCTGGAATCACCAGGAAACCCTGGGAGTGAAAGCCCTGTGCAGCGGAGCAACAGGATAGAGAGGCCTGGAGCCCTGACACTGTGGCACACCATGCCGCCCTGAACTGTCTCCAGACTCCTTACCTGTGAGAGAGAAACTTATCTTATTTCAGTTCAGTGTTATTTTGCGGCTTTCTGATTGCCCACAGCCAAATCTAGTCCTAACTTATATTTAAGTCAGTCGGGGGCAGAGTTTCAACATGAGCCCCGTCTAGCGCTCCTTCCGCCGCCCAGCGCCACAGACCTGCCGAGATAATTTCAGGCTCTGGAAGGACACATGCTCATTTGTCTCGTCCTGACCCACCGCCTAGCACAGTCAGCCCCCGCTGTGCAGCATGTCCTTTCTCACAGCAGATGGCTCGCTGGGGGAAGCTTCCCCCTACCTGTACTCCAGGCAAGTCTGAGTGATGTGTAAGGGCTCCTTCAGGCTCTCCAGGGCCTTCCGCAGCCTGGTCTGGTACGCGAGAAGATCTTCAGTCACATACACAAGCTGCTCAAGTTTGTCATCTAACTCCTTCTTCCAGAATCTGATTTCCTCAAGCCTCTGTTCTGAAGCACACAGAGAAGTTACAGCAGAGTTCATCTGTCCCAACGTAGCCTACTTTTGGATTAGAAACTTGAAGACCATTGCAACACTACCTGAGATATGTTCCTTTCCCCTTAGAGCTCCTTAGGGAGGGGGAGGAGGGGAAATTTCTTCTTATGTTCAACATCAGATTATTCCAGAAATCACTCTACACTCATGGACTCTGATTCTACAATGTCCACTGTTTTTAATAACTTTTAATTTTATCAAAGATATAAATGTATATTGCTTGAAAAGTCAAATAGTATTACAAGTATTACAATTCTCTGACCCATCCTTAGCCACTCTCCTTTTCTGGAAGCAACCACTAGAAACTTTTAGTATTTCTTCTGCCATTTGCTTACACTGCTATGTATTATCAGTTTGAATACTATCTACCGATTTCCTGTGATGGAAGGTAAGAATTTATTTGCTCTTACACAACTTTCAGAGCATACTCTTGCTCCTTCCATCTTCCCACTATAATTGTATCACCACCTTGTAAAGTAATAATTTAATGTTTGTTGGTATTATTGTAAATATGTAAATGTTATATACACCCAAACCACATAGCATACTATGATAAATTTTTTTCCTTCTACAAGTTTTTGGTTTTTGGAGGGGTTAATAAGTGTATTTTTGCTTTACTTTCTATATATTATTAATTTTTCTTCAAACTTTCTAACAGAACTACAGCAATCCCCCTTATCTGCAGTTTTGCTTCTATGGCTTTAGTTACCTGTGGTCAACTGAGGCCTGTAAATAAATGAAAAATTCCAGAAAAATAATTCATCAGTTTTCAATTGTGCACTGTTCTGAAATCTCGCACCTTCTCGCTCTATCCCACCTGGGATGTGAATGATCCTTTTGTCCAGCATATCCACACTGTATACACTACACTACGGTTAGTCACTTAGTAGCTGTCTTGGTTATCAGATTGACTGGTATGGTACCACAGTGCTTGTGTTCAAGTTACCCTTGTTTTACTTAACAGTTGCCCCAACACACAAAAGTAGTGATGCTGGCAACTTGGATATGTCAAAGAGAAGCTGTAAAGTGCTCCCTTTCAGTGAAAAGGTATATATGTACATATGAGGGGGAAACATAGTATATATAGGGTTAGGTACTATCCACTGGGGGTCCAGGAACGTATTCCCCATGGGCAAGGGGGGACTACTCTATAAATATCCTCTCAATATATTCAAATCCATCAGGTAACCTATTGATTTTGTTTCTTTGCTAGAGTCCTCTCTCCAGGAGTGCTTTCCCCTCCTGCTTCAATCTCTAGCTGGGTGTGTGTCTGTCATCCTATGACTTAGCTTCACCATCATTTTAGGAATTCCCTTTGCTTTCTCATGTGTTGGAGTCCTCTTTCCTGGATTTCATTTCTTCTTTTTTCTTAGTTTTCTTCTTCAATGTGCTGTAACACATCCTTCAGGAACTTCCTAAGGAATGGATTCATGTGAGGTAAAATTTTTGAAACCTTGGAAGTCTGAAATGCCTTTATTCTGCCCTCATCCATCATTTGGTTATATTTTACTGTGGGTAGATGTATAGGTTGTAAATAATTTTCATTTAGAATTTTGATGGCATTGCTTCATTTCCTTCTAGTTTCCAAAGTTTCTGATGAGAACTCCAACGCCATTCTGACTCTAGATTGTTTGTATGTGACCTGAAAAGCATTTAGAAATTTCTTCTCTGTTTTCCTAGTGTCCTAAAATTTCACACTGTTATCAGCTTATTCAATTATTATGCCAGACACCAGGCAAGCCCTTTTTAAAAAAAAAAAAAATGTAATCCTCACCGGAGGATATGCTTTTATTGATTTGAGAGAGAGGAAGGAAGAGAGTGAAACATCAATTGGCTGCCTCCTCAAGCCCCCTGACCAGGGATCGAACCCACAACCTGGGTATGTGCCCTGATCTGGGTAAAATTTCAGCTTTCCAGATTTTCTTTTTCTTTTTTTAAGATCAGATAATTTGGCAACTCAGGGCCCATAATCTTTCTTGGGGAAAAAACTAGTTGAAACTGAGTAGTAGCTGCCTCCTTAGATGAAGCACATGTTCTCCAGGGCACCCCACCCCCTCCACTTCCAATTAGCTCAGAGGGTCTTATTCAGCCCCTATGCTACCGCCCAACCCTTATGGATGCTAGCGTTTGCGACCTCTGGTTTATTATCTTTTGGCGTTTGGAACGTTTTTATGATTATTCGTTTTGTTTATTTAAGGGCACTGCCCTTTGAGCAGTGTTTTAAAGAATGGAATCAGCAAGAGAAAATTGCTCTTCCTTTAAGAATCAGCTCAAATGTTTCTCTAGGAAGTCTTCCCAACCCTACTACTTTTGTACCCCTTCCCCCTGCACTTACCTGGTTACATTCTGATTATTAATGTGTGCACCTTTCTCCTTCTCCAGCAAGGAGCCCTGAAGAAATAATCTGATCATACCGTGTGATATTCCCAGTACTTAGTCCGTCGATGCTCTTGACGCTCAATGAATGTGTGTCAAATCCATAAATGAATAAATCGTGGAGGATGGATGGCCGAAAATCAGACTGGGCTACCATGCTTATCTCGGGCCAGTGAATGTAAACACAGAACCTGGAGAATACACGAGCTCCCCCCTAATATTTCAAGCTAATACATTGCTAATAATACAGCGCGAAATGCAAATGACGGTACAGCTAAACCCAAACAGTTTCATCGCTACATGTTCACAAGTACACAAGCACACCGTCTTACCTAGTTTCTTGTTCACATCACTTTGAGATTTTCTTGTGGACTTTTCAATTTCATCCACAAGCCTCTGGCTTTCTGCCACCAGGCGTTCGGACCGGGACCTTTCAGCCTCCGCGCTGTGGTACTGGTTCTTGTTAGCAATTTGCCACTCCGAGGGCAGGAACTTGGGCGGAGATTGTAGTAGTTTGGCCATTTGCTCGAAGGCAGACTTCTTTTAGATTAACTGAAAGCAATGTGTCCTCTTTTAAATGTCAATTTTTATTATGTGACATATATACCAAAAAGTGCATAAATCATAATCTGTACACAGAATGAACACATCTGTGTGGCCAGCACCCAGATCAAGAAATAAGCACCTCATGCCTCTTTCCAGCCACTATTCTCTACGCCACCCCCACAGGGGAACCGTTTTGTTTTTTCTGGACTTCACAGAAATAGAACCATGCAGTACATGCTCTTTTGTATCTGACTTCTTTCACTCAACATTATGTTGGTAAGATTCATCCATATTGTTCATACAGTTGTAGTTTGTTCATTCTCATTGTTGTGTAGTATACCATTGTATAAATATACCAAAATTTATCTGTTTTTCTACCGTTTATAGGTATTTGGGTTGTTTCCAGTTTGGGGCCCATCATGAGAATGCTATGAAGATTCTCGTGTCTTTTGCTGAACACACTCATGCAATTTTATGACTCATTGAATGGGTACTGTTCAATTTTACTAGATACTGGCAAGCAGATGAACCTAGACATGTTTTCTTTAAAAAAAAAAAAAAAAAAGAACAAATGTAACTATCTGTAAACTGGCAACTAGGTATTAAGCCTAGTGAGCAGATAAAAGAATCTAAAAACTTCCCAGGACAAAGAAGAGGAGAGAAGAGGAAGGAGAACACATGAGAAGGCAGCAGGCAGAGGCCGGCAGCAACAGGAAAACTAAAATTTCCCCACCTCATCTGCACACAGCTCTGATTGTGAGAACCGCCTTCCTCAGTCTGGCCTAAAATCTGCCCCGCCCGCATCCCAACCCAAAAACCTGAGCGCCTGCCCTTGGGGGTGGGGGGGTATCTCTTTAGCCCTTCAGTCATGCAAGGCTGGAAGCTGGTCGGATCTTGACGAGGCTGAGCACCCCGCGGGACTCAGCCCAGGCAGACAACACGGAGTCTCCCCGTTTTTTCCTAGCCCATCCCTCCTACGGCCTTTCCAAAGTTTGTCTGAGCATGGCGCTCAGATTTAACACAGGGCTCCTGGATAAAGCTGAGCAGCCCCGGAGAAATCGAAATTAGACCTAAATTAGGGCTGAACCCAACGGGCACAAGGTTTCGAGTAGAGCCGAGAGCAGCAGTTAAGGGGTGATGGGTTGGAGCCGGGATGTACTTACCTGAGCGCCACAAAGGACAACTCTACCAGCTCAGACCAACCCCAACGGGAGCTCCTGCCTCGCGAAAGAGAAAGATAAACAGAGCGGTCTCCACGGCAACTGGTGACGCGTCACCAGGGCAAAGGGGGCGGGGTCCTCCGTGAAGCAGCTTCTCGGAAGGCTCTGCGCAGGCGCGAATTGTATAGC